ATAGCCTTTGCCTACAGGCCTTGGGGTTTTTTTTTGGTGGTGGTTGGGGTTTTTTTGCATAGGACAGTAAGCTAAGGTCTGACTCAAACACCCAGTATGGAAAACAGCGTAAGTGTTGTGAGCCCAGTCTATGTTTTTTTCCTGCAAAATGTCTTGAAGTAGAGGTATGTAGTCATGGCTTTTTTTAATGACACCGATGGAAACTTCAGTGCCTTTGAATATTTCTATCAGCTATGTGATGAGTCTTCCCTGAAATCACAGAAGCATGTAACTGAGCTCTGTGTGCAGGTATATCAGAGACACAGAGGAAGACAGAATATGATGTATTAAGTATGTACAAACAGAACAGATAAATCAAAATTATTTAGAAATTTTTTTTAATTAAAATAGCTACATATGTTCTTAAGAAGATTAGATCATAATGCTTTTTAGCTTGTCTTGATGTTATCTTGGTTGTCTGTAGCTACATAATTGGAGGTTGTCTCACATAAATAAAGCTGGGTTAGGCTGATGCAAAGAAAGCTGGTATTTTCCCTTCTCAATTAACTGATCAAGAGAAGAAATGTCCCCACAGGATATTAGAAACATTTGCACTATTGAAACACTATCTTTTTATGTGAGGAATCGACTGTTTGTGATATTAAAGATTCTGCAAGACCATTTACTAAAGCAGAGCATTAACCCTTGTGTCCATCAGATAACAACGTGGGGAATAGCATCCTATTTGCTGATGGCTTAATGCTGCATCATAGTAACATTAATTGTTTAGGGTTTACTGTAAAGAGGAATGTCAACTACGATGGCCCTGTGGCTGCTTTTCGTGTGCTGCAATTAAAACTCATAGCAACATCTATATTTAAGTTTGTCTGACATATTCACTCTTTATTATAACTTAGCTAACCCAAATTCAGTTTGGATTTTTTTTTCCAAAGTCATTGTCTTTCTCATGCTAATTTTTTTAAAATTCAGTTTAGTCCACAAGCAATTTTACTGCCACTGGGCAGAAGCTGTTGAAATGCAAATAATCTTTCAGCAGAATTTTAACGGTTTCTAGCACTTGTTTGTATAGAGTACATATTTAACCACAGCCTGTTACTGGAACTAGATATTTTTGCTGATTCTGATTATATGATTAATATTTCTCTAAATATGGGTCACTGAAAGTCACCTTTTTTGCATTCAGGAGAGTTTCTTGCTACAGGTCATGGAACGTAGCAGTTGTACTGCCTGCACTTCCTCTTTATGGTGGTCACACCTTCTTACCTGGTTTAGCTTGTGTATTGACAATGCCTCCTGCCTTTGCATCTGCAGCAATTTAAGTCCTTTTAAACCTCATCCTAACAATGGGAACCAAAATGCAGTTTCTCCCCTTTCCTCCCTCTAATCTTGCCCCCACTATCTTTTTTTTCCCGTACCCTTTGCTATTAACAAAACTTACTTGCTTCTCAAATGTGGGCTACAGGGCAGCTAAGGATGAGCCCCTGAGAGCCACTTGGAGGGAGAAAAGGAGGAACAGTCACATGAAACATGGACTGCGTCAGGGTGAGAGGAGGATCCATGAGAAAACGGAACTGGAAAAACAACGCAGAAAAAAAATCTGAAAAAAAGGGAATGGTCAGAGATGCCAAAATTACCAGTAGTTCATAAGAAATGCTGTACTTCGTCAGAGGCAGTGTACACCCCCTCACTGTGTATGTATTGCTAGGATTATGTATTATTTTGCATTTATCAACATTGAACGTCCACCTGCCATTTTATTACTGAGTCAACAATGAACTCATTGTTCCAGAGCCATTTGTTACTCACGGTGGCAGTGTCTGGCTCATATCCCTGCAAAAAGAAAAGAAAAAGGCTCATTTTCAACTTGGATCCACTTTACTAGCTGACCTAGCATAGCTGCAGATAGATGAGAGAGAGATGGCAGTTTGAATGTCTTGCTGTCAGTAGTGCTATGATAATAGTATTAACAAGCTCGTTTAAGGCTAGCGTGGTATAGTCAGTGTGCAAGCTACAGGCATGTTGTTGGAAATGCCAAGGACATTATAATGCTCTGGCAATAGCTAGAATTAACTAGATCCTAATTTTAATTGCAGTTTATGCCTATTACAAGGTCTCCTAATTTCATTCATTATTTCCTGGAGTTGGATTTGAACCTGCTGCCTGTAGGGCAAATTTATCTACCTTTTCTAGTCCCAAGAACTATAAAATGCAAGGTTTTAAAATGTTCAGTTCTCCCAATTTAGGGCCAGATTTGTAAAGGAGACCGGTTCCCAGTCAGGCACTGAAATAAGCGCCAGATTTCAAGCACTGGATAATTCAGTGGCTACTACTCCTCTGTAACATCTAATGTCAGATTTCCAGGAGCGTTTCTGTGTCCAGTGAAGTAGCGTCAGAAATTAGTCCTTTTGCTGGTGCTCTGGGAAGCTTTTATCCTCTAGCTTTCCCTCTGCCTCTCTTTCACTGGACTGATGATCATACTGTTTTTAAATATCTACTCTGCTAATAGGGTAAATAAGTATATGCATTTTTTTGCAAGCAGGTTTTTTTGGTTTTTTTTTTGCATCAGGGGTCTCTGAAGGCAAACGTGTAAAATCTGTGAATCTGCTGGTGCACACAGAGAGCAATCGAACATCAGACGAAATGTGCACATTCATGTTCCCATCCTGGATGTAAATGAACCGGCTGAATGAACACGTCGGGGAGAAACCCAGACCTGACTCCCCGGTTTTCCTCACCTGCCACCCCTGCGGACACCCCATGCATTTCTCCGGCAACACCCTCTCTTCCACAGGAAGTTTGCAACCCACCCTCGTCCGCTCAGGCGCCGGCTTCATTTTCTGGTGTTGCTGCAAAAAAGGTGCCGCCTGTGCTCGAAATGGGATCTTCCACTATTTAGCAAGGCTTTGCTGAATGAGTCATCAAAGCCGGCTGGTATTGGCTGGGCTGGTGAGCACCCAAGGGATTGCCTGGCAGAGGCTGCGAGGCCTCGCTTCATTCACAGAAATGTGGGGATGCTAGCCAGCCCTTTCATTCACACGCACAGAATCTCATTCACATTTTGCAGTTTCGCTAGCCGCTTCTAATGAAGAGAGCCATTTGGGAGCAATAGGGTTTTCTGGGCAGTAGAGACACGTAAAAATAGGCTATGGTGTGTATATTTGCTGTTGCTATGCTAGGAGGATGAAGAGAGGAATGAATGCTGTGTGGATGCTGTAGCAGGTTCGCAGTGTGGTGATGAAAGGCTATTCCGCAGATCACTAGAAACCTGCCTTTACACTGACTAGGACATTGCCATTACTCATCACCGCTGGGATAAGAGGTGCTGACTTAATTTAATGTGTCATGAATATACTAATGAAATACCTGTATTTGAGCTGGCTGTTTCACTGTATTTGCACTTTGTATACTGCAGCCTTTAGTCATGAGAGAGGGAAGGAATTCCGTAGGATTTTTCCTTTAAATTGTGCTGCAGTTAGTCATTTGTTTGAAAAATAACTGCGCTATGCAACTTCTCTGGTCTGAATTTGTTTATAATGCAGTGTATTGTCCTACGTCCAAAAGATGTTTTGCAAAGAAGATCAATTTATAGAAAAGAACCGTATGGCTTGTGATGGGCATTGTGTATCACAATGCTGTACACATTTTGTATTTTTCAAAAAGATGCAGGAGAAATGAAATACCTGTTTTCTGCATGTTTTGCTACTTTTCAGATCAAGTGTTTGTGGCTGACATTTATACTCAATAAGACCTGGTGCCTTTTTTTATTCTTCACTGCAGGATGTCAGTTTGCTGCTACCTGGACTTTTGAATATTCTTTTAGGTTTTTTCAGTTTTTCAGAATTAAACCAAACATTCCAGTGAATTGAAGATCCTCTTCATGTTTTTCTTCAGAGTGAATATCAAGTGGTGAAAGAAAAAACATCTGTTAAGCCTGTTGTCGGATATCAGAAAAATACTTTTCTTCACACATAGGTACTTTATGTAATTCCTGCATTAAAATAGAAGGTTGTTGTGGAGTAACAGGGGAGAAGGATTTCTTTCCCTTCAAAAATTGGATGTAACAAGTTTCCGTGAGAGATAGCATTGACACAAAAGCACTCGTAAAGTCTGTTAGGCTGCTTTTGTGGAAGAAAATGTGTATATTCTTTAGTTCTGTGGTCTGTTTTTAAAATACTTGTGTGCTTAAAGGTATTCTGAAAACCTTTAAGGTGTCTGTGTTTTGCTGGGGGTGAGGGGAGAGGGGGTATATATGTGTAAATATTATCCAGATATTTGCTATCTAATTGTGACTTCTTTATAGATTCACAAATATGTGAGGTGGAAGAACATTTAAACAGAATAATAAAGTGTGGTGTTCCACAAAGGCTGTTAATTCAGTTTTAAAGGTAATTGCCTTTGGTACCAAAAGGGTGGTGGTGGGGGGAGGAATTAAAGGTTGGAAGGAAATATCTGTTTGAGAAGATAGGAAAAGGAAATTTGAGAATTGATTGGTGCTAGTGTGCTGTAAGTGGGTGGATGGGTTTTTTTCTTCTTCTTTTTTTTTTTTTTTTTG